GCATGGTTTGAGGAATGAGGATAAAGAAAAGAATGTTCTTGCCCTCATGGAACTTATAGTCTATTGTTAAACCAAAAATAAGCCAAGGTAGCTGCAGGAAGTGAGTAAGAGTGTAGATTCCGGATACATTCTGCCTGGGTTTAAGTCCTGGCTCTATCACTTACCTCATGGTGCTGGAATAGTTACTTAATTGTCCTGTGCCTCAGTTTCTTCATGGGGGTAATATTAGTAACTATTAACTTAAAAAATTAATATTTGAAAAGCACTTAGAACAGTGCCTGAAACACTGTAAACATTCAATAACTGTTAGTCATACAGCCATAAACAAATACATACTTTCAAGGCGTGAGATGTACTGTGAAGAGGAGGTAGAATGCAATGAAGGGACTAGAAGAGTGATAGAGTCAGATGGGGCTGGGAGTAGGACTGGAGTATGATTTTAGATCAGGTGGTCAGGAAATGCCTCTATGAAAGGGTGACATATAAGCAGACTACTGGATAAAGGAAATGAGCCAGGCAAACAAAGTTCCAGGGAAAGAGGGTATTGAGTGCAGGCCCCCTGGAGGGAGGATGATCTTGACCTATTCAAGGGACAAGATGGGCAAGGCCAGTGTAGGTATAATAAAGTAGCTGAGGTAGAGAGTGACAGATGTCAGATGCAGGGACCAGATGAAGCAGAACATGGTAAGGAGTTTATACCATTTTAAGTGGGATGGAAAGACACTCTGGAATGTTTTGATCAAGGAACTGCCATGATGTCATTTATGCTTTAGGAAACACACTGTACTTTGAAAACTGAAGGGGAGCAAGAATAGAAGCAGAGAGACCAGATAAGAGGCTACTGTAGTAGTCCACGTAAAAGACAATTGTTTGTTTAGACTTTAGTGGTAACAGTGAAGGCAGTAAGTAGTAGCTATATTTGAGATATTTTTTAAGGTAGATTCGTCAGGACTTGCTGATGGGTATGGTATAGGTGAGAAGGGAAGACAGGAATTAAATATGACTCCTAGGTTTTGGGACTGTGTAGCATTTATTAAGATGGGACAGAAAGGGAGAGGTACAGGTCTGGGGGGAAGTCGAGTTCTGCTTCGATCAAAAAAAACCTTGAATGATTACACTCTGAGAGGGATGTCAAGTAGGTGGTTGGGTATAGTTTAGGGTCCATGGGAGAAGTTAATATTGGAGATAACACATAAACGGTATTAAAAACCATGGAATGAGCTCATGTACTAAGCATAGCTAGAGAAAGAGGACCAAAGCCTGAGCCCTGGGACATTTCAACATTTAAAAGTCAAAAGAGAATAATCAAAGGGAACTGAGAAAGAGGCTGAGGTAGGAGGGTGTGGTGACCAGGGAAGAAAGTGCTTCAAAAATGAAACAAGGTGTGATCAACTGTCAAATGCTGCTAGGAGGTCAAGTAAGATATCATCTAAGTTAGCTCAAAGTAAATCATTCCCTCATTTCTATTTTCTCAGTGCTTTATTTGTACCTTCTCATTGCAAGTTCCAGTATTACACTGTAGAGTTATTTTTGTCTGTCTTCTCTCCTCTTATAGAGGTTCCTTAAGGTCAGAGACCATGTTTTGTTCTTCCCAGAACATCCATTACCTTATTTGCTCAATATGATTAATTAGATAAATGAATCACATGGAATTCTATAAAATCTAGGAGAATATGCCTAACACAGAATTAGCAATTAGAGGTGGTTTTACTGAGATGTTCTAAATGTTCTCCTTTAAGACTAACGTGTGGGTTTTGTTCTGCCTAGAATGAAAGATTTCCACCATATATGAGTTGGACTATTGCTAATCACAACCTATCTGGCATTTCTATTTTTTTTTACTTCAATGTCTTGTACGCTGTCCAGTCCAAAAAGTACTTAGCTTTTACCTGACTTGCTCCTTCACCTTTTTTTTTTTTTTGTCTTTTTCTGTGTCCGGCAACGGATCGCGACCCTCAGTGTCGCCCCCATACCGGACCGGGACCGGCAACGGAATCGCAGCCCTCGGTGTTGCTCCCGCACTTCGCTCAGCCAGTGAGCAGGAACCGGTCTGTATGTGGGATCCGAACCCTCGGCGGGAGCGCCGCTGCGCTTCCCAAGCGGCACACTATAGCAGTGCGTCACCAGGCCGGCCCAACTCCTTCACCTTTTAAAGTTGGCTCCGTGACCCAATGATAACCTTCGGAGGTCATCGATAACTTCCTCTGTCACACTGAATATCAGTGTCATTAGAGCACATCAGGGGCATCAGGATAAGCTGACATTTCGTATTGCATGATAATGAACTTTTGAAAACAATGACAAAAGGAGCTACAGAAATATAAGCACTGGAAATGACTGAATTCTCAAGGGAGATGTGGTTGAGTTGGCATAATCAGAACAAGGCTGGCAGCCAGGGGATGAAATTTTTCCCTAAACCTACACAAAATTGTAGGGATCAGATACAGTTTGTGGGACAATGACTTATCGTCTCTGTAAAAGAAAGCTAAAAGCCAACAGTTTTGAGTAATAATATCAAAACCCAACTTATGGATTATAAGCTGTTAGTCACATAACTTATTGAAATATATGCACAAAAAGAGTCATATCCCAAACAAGGAGAGTATCCAGCTAGAGATCTGAAATATTTGCAGCATGTGCCAGTGCCACAGAAAACCATCAATCTGTGAAGTCAGCCCCTTTGCTTGACCCTGACCCCCCATTTGGGGTTCTTGGTGATTATTTTTGTAGAATGCCACATTTTAGCTCTGCGGCTCTCCTGGCTAGTTTTATACTGTGTCCTTGAGAGCAAATATTCAACTTTGATTCCTACTTCCTCTCATACATAAAGATGGAGGAGGTTTTCTCCAATCCATTGGCCATTTGCCTTAGTTTTCATACTTGGATGGATGTTTTGTAATGAGTACTGTGGTTAACTCCCAGCCCATTCATGAAATGGATGTGCTCCATCAGATTACAGCATTGCTGAACAGCCAGTTGGACTGTGCATCCAGTACTGGCATTATCAAAGTCTAAGCGACCACATCCCCTGCACATAGCACATTACTTGGCATGTTTCAGATACTCACTATACACTTGGTGAATGAATTTCAAGAGTGACACTGACAAAATAGGACATATCTGGAGGATGGAATGAACAACTAAAGATATTTTGTTTGGAGATGAGTCAGAAGTTTAAGAGTTTCTTTCAAACAGCCAGAGTTGTCAGAAAGGGAGAAATAAGATTTACGCTATAAACTTTAGGCTGTTAGGATCTAATGATTTAATATAGCATTTCCTAAATTAGAGTTCAATAGGATGTTGTGATAATACAGAAAAAAAAAAATTCTACAGTCAAGGAAGGTTGGGAAATGCTGGATTACATAGCTCTCATTTTCAGAAGTCAAGTCTTAAAGGAAAAGCAAGACACAAACCACTCATTTACGAAAAGGTCAGAATTAATAAATACCTCCAGATGCTTGGTGAGAATAGCTCCAACTTTAGGGGCTTCTTAAATTAGAGTGATGGTGAAACAGAAGATATGTGCTGCGGTCTACACTACAACTAAAATGAATGTGGACTGACGCAAGGATCTAGTCTACAGTGGTTCCTACTGAAAGTAGCTGAATTGAGTAAGCAAGTCTTCATTAGTAATGCCAATCTGAACCAACTGCATTTTGTATATTGATTTCTAAATGACGAGGTTCTTCCTATTTTTATAGCTGGTATTTTTATCAGAAAAATATAACTGATGAATGTCATTAACTAATCCTTAATTTTTTAAGAAATATGTATTTGCTAAGCATCAATTATGTGTTAAAACACTCTGCTAAGAACTGAGGAAAACAAAGGGAAAAGCCTGACTGTACTTCGTCCTTGTGATGCAGGGATGGGGAAGCTACAGAGGGAAAGCCAAACTAATCAATTTCAGAGAAGTCAAGTGATAATGTCAAATCACACTGACATCCCTAAATCTTCAGATTTATCTTTATCTCATTGTTTATCATTCTAACACATTCTCAGCTAACAAAAATGGTTAAATATTTAAAAACCTAAATACTTTACAAATTACTAAAATTATCTAAAATTGAGTCTTTAATTCTATGGCTACTATATTGTGCCTACGAGGTTCCCTAGTAGTACTACATTTGCTAATAAGTGTGGAGAATCAAATTTATAATTCACATTTGAGAGAATTTAAAGGATACTTTTGTCAAATGAAGCTAGACAGTAAATGAATTTTTATAATTACACAGTGCCATTTAATCTCAAATGATTGAAAAGAGGCCTGCCTATATTCCTCTCTCTTCCCTACCAGTCCTGTAATTTTTAATACTTTCAGATCAGGAGGTGAATATATTTAGGAAACACTTGAGATGACTGAATTCAAAAGAGACAAGTAGGTGCTGTGACTGACTCCATCCCAGTTATTGACTAAGAATAGGTCCAAACATTCCTAAACATGGCCACACTTGATTTTTTCCTATCATACCCCAATATTCTACTTGTATTTCAACTATGTTGGCACATGTAACAGGAAACCCAACTTACCTCAGACCTGAATATCAATAGTATGACAAATAAAAAGTGAGACTGTCATTCTCTGGCACGACCCACATAAACCAAATTTCTGAAAATTGAAAGGAAGAAACGGTTACCTCAAGTACTCTATAAAAAAAATAACATACCCTAGAAAGTTAACCATTAAAAGTTACTGCCACTCAATGTCAAATCTTATGTTTTCTTAGAAAATGATCATTTCCTATCTAGTTTCCAGTAAATAGGATAAACATAAGACTAGTCCACTAAATGGATTCATCTTACACTCAGACTGGAATATAGTCTACACATCATCATCCTATGGAGGTTGATAGGTCAGGTCAACTTTCTTAAATTATCAACAGGTTACTCTGGATCTCTAGATACATGAGGAAATCATGGTGCTTACCAATTCCACTTTATCCACAGTCAGAACTTGGATCATCCAGTTGAAAATCAACATTATGAAGGACAAGCAATGATTTACTTCATTTAGTCTGAATTTATTCCTTCTTAGTTGACATACCAATAATTTTAAAACATTTTTATTTTCCTAGAGGGTCATTATTTACTAAGGATGAGTTAAGCATATTGAGATTTCTGGTCCTCTCCATTTTTTTTTCACATACTCTCCTTTACCCCTCACCCTTTTCATTTCTCAGAAAACTTTAATGACAGATTTAAAACAAAGGAAATTTTAATGATTTTCCCAATAGGTAACCTGTTTTATATAAATTTCATTTCCAAATTATAGCAATAAAGACAGACAACATTTATTTAATTTTTTAATAAACCATAAAATTTAAATATTCAAATAAAAAGAAACAAAAATAGATGTTTAAGCCAGCATTAATTTCTGATTTTATTCTTCCTCTGCGGCATGGACTTCCCTGGGATTATAGCAGAGCAATAAAGTTATGATCCTGGTGTAATAAAGAACAAAGAAGTACAAGTGGGCAATGGCTTGATAATACTTACTTTCAAATCTGGAAGTAATGATCTACTAGTTCGCTCAAGCTCACTGCGAAGATGTTACACAGTTTCATCTGTGGAAAACTACCATGGCTTACCATTCTTAACACACTTGCTTCATCACAGCTTAGCACTCCCTGGCATTTTGATCCTTTTGCTTACTGAAGCTCACTTCAGTCTGTCAAAACATCAAGGGGGAAAATCCCCAAACCGAATAGACGAATAAACACTTTTAATGTGAACAATCATAATCAGACCAACTTCTTTTGCAAAACTACAAGTCAGTGGATTTTTTATCCTTACATAACTCAAATATTGCTATTTTTTCCTGCCTTTACTAAAATGGCACTTTTCATTTTGTTTACATCAGCCAACTTTTTTCTACTTGCTTCTATTTTTCTGTGATTGCTACCCTATTATTCTTTTTGAGCCTTACAATTTCCATTCCAGAATATTTGATCTTTGACCAACTTTATCTCATTCTGTGAATAAATTTGCTATTAATCAGTAAAAATCACAAGAGGAAAAAGAAAAACAATGAGCACTAGCAGGATCTCACTTCAATATTTGTGTATTTTTTTATATGAAAAACATTCATTTTTTATTATGTAATCTAAAACCATTATTGTGTGATACGGTATGTCTTTTAGCATACTCAAATGGGTCAACATTCAATGTGAACAGCAAGCTAGCTCACAAGAAACCAACTGCAATGCACAAACTGGTATGATCCCAGCAGCTTGGTAATAAACTGCAGCAAGCTTTCCTTAAATTGAATAAGAACTCCAGTAACCTCTGGATATTTTTGGTAAAGTTAAGGAAAGTTACTGCAGTCAAGAGATAGGTAATCTTTAGATTTCAAAGACTGGCTGCCAGGGAACCACAGTGAAATATTAACCTGGAGCCAACGAAAAACACTAGCTTGGAAAGAAATGGGTTTTTACAAAAATGCAAAATTATCTTATACAGATGCATAGCATACTATGATTCGACAGGATTATAGTGATAAACAAAACAGCAAAGATAAACAGTCACACTATTTATATCTTTAGTGTGTAAAGAACACAGATTTTAAAACTGGCAGGAAGAAACTCTATGACAGCTCCTGAGACAAGTTACCTATGCCCTGTATCCACCTCATGACGATAATGACAAGTCAAAGTGGTAACAGAGTAAAAATCATCTATCGTATATGAGTCAGAAAGTACTTGAAAAGTGACAAAATTGTATGCTATTAAATGACAAAACATATTTAAAGGCTTTATTTAAAAATCTCTTACTGTTCATTATCAAAGTTACAAGATTGTTTGCATACCAATAGACAGACTGTAAACATAGGAAATTTTCATTAAGGAAAGATGGGTTTACTGTAATTTGATCTCTTACAAAAAATTACTGCAAGTTATTGATAACAGAATTTCTCTTTTACTTTCTTAAGTCTAATTCTCTTGAAAATTAAACCAATGTTTCCACTCTCTTGAGCTAAAGTTCAACCACGGTCACCTTAGGAAATACCCCTGTTTATTTGTTAATCAGAAATACAAATCAAGTGGCACATATTTCCATTTTCTTCTTAGGCCAAAGGTTTCGGCTTCATTATATTTTACAAGAAAACAGAAGACTTGCAGTGGTCCTGTAAAGTCTTTCATGTCGCAGCTGAGGTTTAATGACAGTAGTAGAGGAAAGCAGTAGTGATGCAAAGTAAGACCAGCCAATTGCCTTATCTGACAAGGAATCTTTTTCCTGTTTGGCTTGCAGCAGCGAAGTGTTTCTGGTCAGGTTGCCTCCACCAAACCTGACTGAAGCAGAAGGGTGACATGCTCTGATAAATCCTGTTAAAGGGTGATTCTGTTCAGGCTAACAGTTGATCCTTCAATCGGTTGGTTGTGGGATGATACTAATATGAAGAAAATTATCTGGGTAGCTCAGATGTTCACTCAGCCACTGCAGAGGTGTTTCTAACATTGGCTCAATTCCATGAATCATCACTTGATTCTTTTTCTCCCCATCTACTCCAAGAAAGAAATCCAACAATAAATAAAGAGCCAAAACAATTAAACAACAAAATAATAATAATTTGTTGCCTTTCAAGAATCCTTAGTGAATTAAATGGATTTTAAACCTGTTTTGTCCCCTGAACAGGAAATGTGGACATGGAGAAAGTTCAAATGTTGCAATATGTATCACCCAAAACAGAAACCTGAGGGTTACAATGAATTCTGATAAAAATTCTGTTGCTATATGTGAAAGTATTCATTCTTTCTTAATTACTGTGCTTACCTAAGATTGACGTTAATGAAACTAGTGGAGAAAACAGCCCATTTTACCCACTGACCAAAATTTACTTTAGTTATACATGAAAAACTGTATGGCTATTAAACCTATATGGCTATTAATAATAACAAGTGTTTAAAGTAGGTCCACACATATTAAAGAAATCTAAAACAGAAATGTGACTAGAAACCATCAAGAATGAGATAAGCATTTGAGAAGATGTTTAATAAAACAGATGAGAGCTTTGGATGATATTCAGTAAAGTGTTCAAGTATATATTTAAAAGGTTTTGAGATACTATTAGAATAACAGTTCAAGTTTTAATCAGAGGGAACTAAGTCTAACTCAGGGATTCCTGTTTTAGAATTATGAAACCTGATTGATTTTTGTCAAAACCCATTCAATAATTAAAAGGGTGCCACAATTCACATTTTTCTTTTAAATTCAAGTTTTATTCCAAATTAATTTTAAGATTAATTTTGTGTTTTTCATAATTTTGGTATGAGGTATTGACAACTTTTAAAGTAAACAGAAACACTTTTGATTGCTATAGAAAAAACAAAGAAAGCAAAACTCCTCTAATGAAAAAGGAAAAAGAAAAACAATAAAAAAGAACCATCAGGAATCTTTGTGTTACTCCTTACACACAATTCTTGGTTTGTCTCCTTTATGGTCTCTTCAAAATACAATGTCTAAACTTCTCAGCTTCCTGGAGATAGAAGACAACAAGGAAACAGGGAATTCATGGAAATCTTTGAGGTGGAAATACACTACTTTCTTCTTTCTGCTCTGTCCAAAATGACTTTAAAATCCCTAGTGTTTGGGCTGGCCCGGTGGCACACTCGGTAGAGTGCGGCGCTTGGGAGCATGGCAGCGCTCCCGCCGAGGGTTCGGATCCCATATAGAGACCGGTCCGCTCACTGGTTGAGCGCGGTGTGGGCGCGACACCGAGGGTTGCGATCCCGTTACCAGTCACGAAAAAAGACAAAAAGGAAAACAAAAAAAAATCCCTAGTGCTCTATGTCTGGGCAAAATGGGCCGATGATGCATGGTGATAAGGGCTTGGTTGGCACCTGAAACAAGAGATATTTAGACTTCCTGTTCAAGAGTCAGCACAGTCCTAGGAAGTGACAGTCAATGGAGGACACAAAAATACTACAGAGAGTTGATAAAAGAATGTCAAAAATAAAAAACTGACAAACATAGTGCCAATTCTAAAGACAACCAAATAAGATGTCCCAAACAAGACCACAAGTCACTGTGTCACAGTTTAAAACAATTTTGGAAAAAGATATCACCTCATAACACTAACATAAAAAATGCTCTCATTGTTTTGATTTTTCTGACAATCTTCTTGCATCTATACATACTTTTTTTTACATAGTTGTAATCACAGTGTTAACACAATGGTTGGTTTTCATAATAATGGTATTAATCATCTATAAATAAAAGATTAAGCTATATATAGAATACTCTGGAAAGCATAGTATTAGTACTTTGGGAAGATTTTTTTTAATGTTGGTATTCAAGTGGATAAACCATTAGCTACCTGGAATGATTCATGCTTTGTAAGCTCTAGGTTGCCAAGGTCTTAACTGTATTAAATCTTTCTTAGAATATCTGAAAACATTTCCAGTGTAGTTCTCTTCATACTCTTATTATATATTTATATTTCTTTGAAATAATTTAATATTCTCAGAATCTTCCTCCTACTTAGCACTGAGTCAACGAATGAAAGAGTAGTGGTGTAAGAGTAAAAGTTCTTTATCTGCAAAGTTTTTCCTTTAGCCAGAGTCACCTTTGGATACTCTGAAACAGTGGAAGAAACAAGTCACAACTCAATATCCAAAATACTGTGGCTAAAGCAATATTTAAATGTGGGAGAGAATACAATACGGCATACAATCCAGGGATGCATAGTATATCTGAAAGGCAAAAAACCAACCCTGTTAACAATAAAAGGATAGTTGCAGTTTATGAGTTGTGCTACAGAAATTTGAGAACATAGTACTATTTAAACACTTTGTGAGACAAATCTAATAGATCATGTTATCAGAGCCCTGAATAGGTAGCACTGATTCTCTGGTTTAGAAGCTAGAGCTACTTTTAAGTTATAACATAAAAGTATCACTAACTTAAATTTAGACTACAAAAAAAGGAAGATCTAGGACTGTCACATCCCTCAACAGAAAAGTTTAAGGCTTTTAAATATATTATTCTGTAACTGCCTACATTTGTCCAAATATTTCACCTATATTTATTTATCCTTTTTGTTTTCTGAATTCCACCAACAACACAATTGGAACCAGAGGGATTCTATAGTTCCCTGAGAATTATAACTAAAAGTTTCTCTCTTCAGAGTCTAGCTAGCATGGTACCTGACATATAATAATTAGTCAATAAATGTTTTCATAGCTTGGATAATTTTGTTGCTCACAGAATATACTGCTAAAATTAATGTTTTCAGAATAGTTTCTGATGGCTGGCCCTGCTATACACAAGAGCTCTACCTATATAGAGTGCTTTGGTTATTAAAACAACAAAATGTCAAAAATGTTTCCAGATGAGCCAAGAAGTATATATGCTATCACCTTAACTCATGCCACCACAAATAACAATGTTCATGACTGAACATTTGGGTAATATCAGGACAAACAAAAGAGAACAGTGAAAAACCAGTAGATGTTTCTTTTTTTCTAACAGTAGAAAAGAAACACTTGATAATGCAAAAGTAAACAATGTTTTCAGTAAATGCATCTTTGTGTTTCAAAATGGGAATTTAGAACTTAATACTTGGAGTGAGAAATATGTCACTACAAAGCAAATGACTCAGGAGAAAAATGTTATCGCTTTATCTCTCCCACTCACATTTTTTTAAAAGTTAGTTTGAAGCTTTAAATTAGGTAAATATGTGGGACAGTAATTAAGTGAGCTAGTTCTATACGAACTTCTTTCATACAGGGCATTTTGGGGGGATAACTTAATTTTGATATAATTTCAAACTTATAGTGTACATTTTCTAATAAAGACATTCTTTTATATAACTACAGTATAGTTATCACAATAAAAAATTTAACATTGATATAACACTATTAAAATAGTCTATATTCAAATTTATCAACTATCCCAATAATATTTTTTTCTCCAGTCTAGGATCCAGTCCAGAATTGCCTTAGTCCATTTATGCTGCTATAACAGAATACCTTAGACTAGGTAATTTATAAAGAATAGAAATTTATTTCTCACAGTTCTGGAGGCTGAGGAGTCCAAGATCAAAGATGTTGGCAACTGGGGCAGGCATTCTACCTGCATCTTCATACAGTGGAGAGACAAGAGAGAGCAAATCCACTCCCGCAAGCCTTTTTACATAGCATTAATCCATTTATAAGGACAGAGCACTCATGACATAAACACCTCTCAAAAGCCTCCATTTCCCCAACACTGTTGCACTGGGGATTAAGTTTCCAACATATGAGTTTTGGGGAGGTACCATAACACATTCAGACCATAGCAAGGATTTGTGCATTGCATCTGATTTTCACTATCTCTCTACTCTCCTTTAATCTGCAACAGTTTTTAGCCTTTCTTTGCATTTAACATTGGAAATTTTAAAGAGTACATGTTATTATTTTGTAGTCTGTCCATAATAGCCCTTTTAAAAAGCAGTGTCTACTTTAAAGTGAATGTTTTCAGAATTATGTTATATTTTAAGAAAAATATATTCAGACAGATTTTGATTGCATGGGAACGGTAGAAACTGGATATAGAAAGGAAAAACAGAAAAAGAAAAATCACATAAGCTGCACAAGTCAGTAATGAAAATTACAAATTTAAAGCAATGATAGCTTCCTATGTGTATATATACACCTATATATAGGTATACACACATATATGTGTATATATAGGTAAATATACAATGAATGTAACTATATACAATAATATAAATGACACATAAAGGAGATAGGGCCAACCATGCACTGATAGTTAACAAGGTGTTACTGAAAGACAAGCTGAGAATCAGACAACTTGAATTCCAATTCTGGTAATGAAGATCTCTGGACAGGTGTCAAATCTCTTTGAGGCTGTCTTCTTAAATATAAAATGAAGGTGTCTGTGTAGATTCATGGCTTGCAAATCTGACTGTTAGAATCACATGGGATATTTAAAAAGAAATACAAAACCTGGGCTCCTCTCCAGACCTTCTGAATCAATTTCTGAGGTAAAGCCTTTTTAAAAATGTTCCCTGTAGTAAATCACATAATCATATAGGTGTAGAATTTTTCTTCAAACAAAATTTTACACAAAAACCTTATGTATAACATAGGTGAAGGTAAGGTAGCTTTGGGTGATGTGGGATTGAGACTATCTCCCAAGTCCTTCTTGCTTCTGATACCATGGGTGCACCACGATAGTTTCTGATATATAACTCTGTGGGTCACACTTTTTAAGCCTCTGGACTGTAGTAGAGGATCCCTAACATGTCTTACAGTTCTAGAATCTGAGTCTTTTATGCCTAAACAGCAAAACATGACTTTGAGAGTTCAAATTACCATCACTCACTAGTTTTGAATTCTTAGGCAAATCACATTTCTGAGTTTTCATTTCCTCATCTTATAGTATGGATAAAGAATTCTGAGCTCCAGGGCTGCATGTCGAATTAAATAGGATATTCAAGCAAAGCACTCAGCAGAGCCTAGAATGGAGGCTGGACACAGTAAGTACTCAATAAAGTGAG